GGTATATACAAGGTCCCCGAAGGATTACTAGAATTTGAAACAAGAACCAACACCAGAAGCCACGGCTATAAGCTAAAAAAACTGCGCTGCAACTTCTCCACGCGACAAAATTTCTTCTCGCTTCGAAATCACCGACATGTGGAACAGCCTCCCCGATGACATCGTTGGCGCTCCAAGTATGAACGCGTTCAAGAACAGACTAGATCAAGCTATGGAAAAATATATGTTTAGATTTGAAATGCCTCGCTCCTTGTCGAACCCGGTGGAAGTCTAGTAGCTACTTCAAACTATTGCAGTCATGAAAAGATCCGGTCAAATGACACGAGTTTAGGTCTATGAACAAGGCACGAAACGGAAAAGAATCGGCGAACGGCCACATCAGGCCTACACTTCAGCGCCGACATCACTATGTTATGTTTATTAGCTGTCGACCAAATATCATGTTAAAATGACATGGACAACGTGCTGTACTGTACCTACTACCTACACTTTTGCATCACGAACACGAAGCTGTCAGTGACCAACCCACTAACGGTGAGTGTATGTGTTGTGCTGTCGCTGGTAAGGCTGTGCGTTATCATTTCTCTTCATAGGTTTAATTGTCACAGTTAGTTCATGCGTTTTTCTTTTTTGTTCTCTGCAAATGAAATAATTATTATATTAGTCATACTTGCATTATTGGAACGCGGGCGTTTCGGTATTGACGTTTCGACTTGGTCGATTTGGTGAATCACTCGAAGTTTATAGTAGGTAGCTACCATAGCGGCATAGCATATGATTGCGCGCTAAGATCAGTAAGATGCTATAGTGAATGGTGACTCCGCTAGCACATTCAGTGCATCTTTTGAGACACAAGAAGGTATTTTTAAGAGGCAGGTCAAAATCCTGCAATTAGTTTTTCTTAATCTGGTCTTGAAAATCTCAGGTTTATGAGTGACCCGGCTCCTAATCCTGTGGACGTGAAGAACATAAAACACTCACAACAGTACTCGGGTAAAATGTCCGATCGGAAAGCTGAGTTGGAGAGGAAGAAGGCAAAGTTGCTGGCTCTTAGAGAGGAGAAAGACAGAAGAAAGAGGGAAAAAGAAACTAAAGAGGTGAGTTAGACAACATTATATGATTATTGGGATTTGGGGGCATACTATGGGAGCAAGGAAATGTGCCTAACTGGCAACTAGGTAAATTGTTATGCAATTGTGGACTGTGGATAATTACTTAGTTTTTTCATTTCATATCTGTGGCCAAAATTTATTCCAACATAGTCATTTTGAAGTAAGTACTACTACTAGTAGTAGTAACATTAAAACGCATAGTGGCAAAGCAGAGAGTTTTTTAGACTCTCCCTCAAGTTCATTTTTGAGTCCTATATGTAGACCAGTACAGTATCCTGGATACCACATACCAGCATTATCATACTTAAAAAATTGGTTTAAATCTTGAGTAAATGAGGAAATTAAAAATGAACTGATTCTAAAAAAGCTCTGGTTTGCCAATATGATTAAAAGAACCTGGCTTTTTAGGACATTGAAAGTTGGAACTTGGAACTATTGTTCAACTTGAGGGTAAACACAGTAAAAACACCATATTCTGGAACATTAGGGATGTACCAACAAATGAATGGCTATAAAAAGATCACTTATGCGCAACTTGAGTTCTGATTGCTTTACAGTTTACATCACTCTCAAAACGCAACACTACGCGCCACTGGTGCCAGCATCGATGAAACTTCACAAACTTGTCATATTTATTGAAAAGCCTTTAGAATTCAAATCTACAAAATCCCTGAAATCCGATGCTGTGTGTGACTAAATTCAGCATAGGGTAAACGTGGTATATTCCGACATCGTGGGTAATTCCGTCACCTTTCTAGTTTTTCCTTTATATTAAGCTTTGTTTTAGTTCCATGCATTTGTTGATGGTTGAAATGGTGACCTCATACATTTGCGCGTTGAACTACTGCCAAAACACTAGGTCTTGGCCATCTAGTCACACTCAGGATGATGTATGTTTTAGGTTAATTTTCCCGTGCATTTTCACTTTTTTTTAAGCTATTGCTGTGCACAGTTGGCGCAATGTAATGAAAATTGATCATCTTCGCGCACGTGTTTGCGCAATCCCGGCCATCTTTATTTTAGAAGAAATTTTCTCCAAATTAATTAAGTAGTGTTCAATATTCATTAGTGTTCTAATTCAAAGCAGTGTTGTATTCCAATACAGCTCACACAGCGAACGGAATTCGAACACGTGGATGACGGCATTACGTATCAGTAGAATTTGAAGGGCGGACGGAATACGCCTTACCACGTGCCGAATATTGCCACACACAGTGTCGGAATATAGGGATTTGGTAGGTTTGCATTCTAAAAGCTTTTAAATGAATATGGCAACATTTTGTGACGTTTCATCGTTGCTGGCGCGTAGTACGGTGTTTTGCGAGTCACATAAAGCAGACAGAACTCGAGTAGCGCATACGGTTATTTTTTTATAGTTTTTCATTTCTCGATGGGTCCTTAATGTGTTGGAATATACCGCGTTTACCTATTGTGAATTTATGAGACTAATTCCGACAGGCTGACAGCGCTTCAAAAGTTCAAACTCTTACTAATTCGTAATTCTGACGCACTGTGTTGGAATTCCAACACCCTGTGTGAGCTGTATCAGAATGACACAGCTCAGAGCCTCTGAACGAGCTTAATTACAAATTTTTAATTTTTTAATTAACACTTTGACTGCGACTTGAAATATAGTCTGTATTCCAGTGGTGCGACTCATTCAAACTTGAATCACTTAAGTTACAGACAAGGCAGCAAAATCAGGGCTAGTGCGCTACTCTTGTTTGACCGAGTTCTACAAGCTTCTGACATAAAAACCGTGAGCCTCTATTGGTGCATGTCGCCTGGGATGGAAACTTTCATCTTACTAGGCAACGTGCGCCATATGAGGTACACGGCATTTATTGTTCAACTACAATAAAAAATTTGCATCACACGGGTACTAACGCTTTAAAAAAATATTTTCTGTGTGAATGGAATCGGATTGTGACTGCAATAATCAAACTACAAGTCATTCTGGGGTAAAATGCTGCTAAATGGGAAGTTTATTATTCATTTAGATGATTTCTTATAAACCTGCTCTAAGCAAAGCATGAAGTGGTACCAACAACTGTTCAAGTTATTGGCAAAAACTGTAGCAAATGCCTGGGTGCTTGGTGACCAGTTCTATAGTCAGTAAAAATCGATGTGAATTGCTGAAGTCGTTGAAGATTACTGAATGTATTTTCACTAGTAATAGATCAGACATGTGAAGAAATGTTTCTATAACTAAATCACAATGATTTTGGATGTTGGTGTTCCAGCTCTAAAGTATTTGAAGCTGAGGATCTGAACTTCATGCCATGACGAGCTACTGATCTGAGTCTTGCTTTAACATAATTGCAAAAAAAGGAAGTTAGTTGGTGCTAAAGTGAGACAAAAAGCTAGAAAAGTAACTATCAATTGCTAGCCCAGTACTCAGAATCAGTATCACTGTTTATCTTGCTTTTTACGGTGCCATTCTGTTTCTGTGTGAGCTTAGGCAGCTTTCAAATGACTAATACTTATTTTTCTACTGCTATAATCCATACCAAGACCGAAAAAATGATTTTCAACATATTGCAACAGGATAACCCCCTTTGTTAGATACTTTTTCCTTTTTGTACCCACTCATTATTTCAGGCTACATTCCAACTACTAAGATTCTTATGATTCGATTGCACAACATTCATATAGGTTTTTGAAAACTTTGTCAATTATCCATCATATTTTTCACAAGTTTATTATCCGGCTGATATTTTGAAGAGCTTTTTTTAAAAAATTAAATTTTTTAAGCATGCCCATGTATGGTGCACATCGCAGTTTGGGACATGCATGCATGTACCATATATGGCGCACGTCGCAGTCAAAGTGTTAAGCTTTTAATTAAGAGCTATTAAGCTTTTAACCCTTTCCCGGGCCGATATAGAAATACGCAGAAATTTTTATTTCCAAGTCCATTTGTACAAAAATACGGGCAATCCTAAGATATATTTACTCCTGAACTTTTTTTGGATTTTTGTATATATATGCTGCAAATTGCAAAAAATTAAGTGATCATATTTGGGGCCTTGCCGGCATATATATGGATAGAAATCGTCATCAATGAAATGATCATATACAGGTTTTTGCCGTTTTGAGGATAAAAAATTCAGTGATACGAAAACCAATATTTTTTATTTAAAACGAAAAATGAGCATAAGCAAAGCTTTTCAAGTTTTTTGTTCCACTTTCAGGCTAGTGTGATAACAGGCTGATGCTCGTTATGCTACCTTTCCATGGTAACCACGGAAACAGTTCCACTCTGCATTGAGGCACAGGTGGACTTTGCACACTTCACAAACAATGTTTGATCGAATGATATGTCCTTGTCGGCTGCAGTTCTTGCATGTGTGACGATTCATGAAGTGAGGAAAGTGTGTTCTCAAACCTATCTGATTTGTTAGGAACTTGGCTTCGATGTCCTCGGACAGCCTTTGAAAGAGTAGGCTGATGAGGTGAAATTGGTTGATGTCCACCAGGAGTCAGGCTTCTGGGACGTTGAGTGGTATTGGACTTGTTTTTAGGGAAGTTTTTGAACACTTTGATGCGAAAGTCCTTCAGAGGCAGATCCTTTTTTTCCCATAGAGCCCTGCAATCAATAACCAAGCATTAGTAATGCAAAGGTCCAGGCTATAGGCAAAAAGTCTCATGTACCACCTGCACGACCTCATTGGAGTGCGGTAGAGGTAAACCAGCATGTCACTCTTAGCAATTCCCCCCATATTTGCATTGTAGGACTTTATGACATTCGGACATTGCACTTCTTCTTTGCGCTTTGTTTCATTGCAGTAGCGAGAGCAGGCTGAGACTGGGTCAACCCCTAAATAATTCGATAAAATTGTAAGTGTAACTGTAAAAGTGTAGTCAAAATGACCTTGCGAAACGCTCTTCTTTTCAAAGTTCTTTGTAGACTTTGTGTGGTGGGTTTCTAATTCTATTTTCCCTTGCAGTCCCCGTGTATCTACACCCATGGGTGTTTTTCAGGTAGCGTGCAATCTGCAGACTAGTGAAAAAGTTATTGGCAAATATTGCTGACTGAGAACATTTCATTGTTTGTGCAAGGACAGAGACAATCTTGCTAGTGGTACTGAGGGCTTCTTGCTCTGGCGTTAGCTTGACGCCATGACCTTGAAGCATAGTCAAGCCTTGGTAGAGAACCATATTGTGGACAAACCCATCAGCCAACGCTCGTGAGAACAGCTTGAATTCCCACTTGTCAGGCTTGTTCTGGATGTACTGGCGCAGATTTCCAGCCGTCTTTCCTTTGAAACCAACCATCACTTCATTGATTGACTGCTTAGGTGCTTGTGGTTCGCACCGGAAGGCTTGACTGATGAAGTTGAAGATGGGTCATATTTTGTAGAAACGGTCAACGGTGGCACAGATCTGACTGTTGTCATCGAAATGTATTAGTCGGCGCAGAAGTCTGAAGTGTTTGGAGGTAATTAGTTCTGCAACTTGAAGCGCTCTGGTTTTCATTGCCCAATAATCATCAAGTGAGGGGAGCTGCACAACTCCCATGTACAGAAGTATGGCAATAAAGGTGCGGATCTCTCCATGTTGTAGGCCTTGACTGCTTGTCATTTTCATTCAACTTGGCCCGTTTCTTCTTTGTCTGACCTCTGTTGGTGGTGCTCCTTTTCTCCTGAGGGGTTGCGGTACCCATGTCCTCTTCAACATCTTCCTCGGGTACCTCTTCTAAGACTGGCCTTCTGCATCGGCGCTTACTGGTAGGGGGTTGCCCTTTGGTGGTATCAGGAGTATCCTCATTATGCAGGTCAGGGACAGGCATATAGTTCGGGTCAGACGTCAGAGATGTCATCATCCAGCGAATGGCCATCGCTGATGCTATGGTCCAGAGGTACTACAGTTGTGTGGGTCTGGTTCTTTTATTAGAATCTTGAAGTTGAGAACTGAAAATAACAAAGATATTTAGCAGAGTCTCCCATGAAGCAAATTCTTTAGATGTTTGTCATTTCACCATG